TAGACATGGGTCAAAAATTACCACCCCCATAACTCGGTCAAATCTCATCCGATTTCCACGAAGTTTGGCTTTTTCTTCATGGTTTTCCCTCTAGATTAATGTGGCATTCAAATCTCGACACCGATTTTTTGGTCGAAATTCATGTCCAAATCTTACCCCAAGATTCGTATATAGACATGGGTCAAAAATTACCACCCCCATAACTCGGTCAAATCTCATCCGATTTCCACGAAGTTTGGCTTTTTCTTCATGGTTTTCCCTCTAGATTAATCTGGCATTCAAATCTGAACACCGATTTTTTAGTCGAAATGCATGTCCAAATCTTACCCCAAGATTCGTATATAGACATGGGTCAAAAATTACCACCCCCATAACTCGGTCAAATCTCATCCGATTTCCACGAAGTTTGGCTTTTTCTTCATGGTTTTCCCTCTAGATTAATTTGGCATTCAAATCTGAACACCGATTTTTTAGTCGAAATGCATGTCCAAATCTTACCCCAAGATTCGTATATAGACATGGGTCAAAAATTACCACCCCCATAACTCGGTCAAATCTCATCCGATTTCCACGAAGTTTGGCTTTTTTTCATGTTTTTCCCTCTAGATTAATCTGTCATTCAAATCTGAACACCGATTTTTTAGTCGAAATGCATGTCCAAATCTTACCCCAAGATTCGTATATAGACATGGGTCTAAAATTACCAACCCCATAACTCGGTCAAATCTCATCCGATTTTCACGAAGCTTGGCTTTTTCTTAATGGTTTTCCCTCTAGATTAATCTGGCATTCAAATCTGAACACCGATTTTTTAGTCGAAATGCATGTCCAAATCTTACCCCAAGATTCGTATATAGACATGGGTCAAAAATTACCACCCCCATAACTCGGTCAAATCTCATCCGATTTTCACGAAGCTTGGCTTTTTCTTAATGGTTTTCCCTCTAGATTAATGTGACACTCAAATCTCGACACCGATTTTTTGGTCGAAATTTATGTCCAAATCTTACCCCAAGATTCGTATATAGACATGGGTCAAAAATTACCACCCCCATATCTCGGCCAAATCTCATCCGATTTCCACGAAGTTTGGCTTTTTCTTCATGGTTTTCCCTCTAGATTAATGTGGCATTCAAATCTCGACACCGATTTTTTGGTCGAAATTCATGTCCAAATCTTACCCCAAGATTCGTATATAGACATGGGTCAAAAATTACCACCCCCATAACTCGGTCAAATCTCATCCGATTTCCACGAAGTTTGGCTTTTTCTTCATGGTTTTCCCTCTAGATTAATGTGGCATTCAAATCTCGACACCGATTTTTTGGTCGAAATTCATGTCCAAATCTTACCCCAAGATTCGTATATAGACATGGGTCAAAAATTACCACCCCCATAACTCGGTCAAATCTCATCCGATTTTCACGAAGCTTGGCTTTTTCTTAATGGTTTTCCCTCTAGATTAATGTGGCATTCAAATCTCGACACCGATTTTTTGGTCGAAATTCATGTCCAAATCTTACCCCAAGATTCGTATATAGACATGGGTCAAAAATTACCACCCCCATATCTCGGCCAAATCTCATCCGATTTTCACGAAGTTTGGCTTTTTCTTCATGGTTTTCCCTCTAGATTAATTTGGCATTCAAATCTGAACACCGATTTATTGGTCGAAATTCATGTCCAAATCTTACCCCAAGATTCGTATATAGACATGGGTCAAAAATTACCAACCCCATAACTCGGTCAAATCTCATCCGATTTTCACGAAGCTTGGCTTTTTCTTAATGGTTTTCCCTCTAGATTAATGTGGCATTCAAATCTCGACACCGATTTTTTGGTCGAAATTCATGTCCAAATCTTACCCCAAGATTCGTATATAGACATGGGTCAAAAATTACCACCCCCATATCTCGGCCAAATCTCATCCGATTTTCACGAAGTTTGGCTTTTTCTTAATGGTTTTCCCTCTAGAATAATGTGGCATTCAAATCTCGACACCGATTTTTTGGTCGAAATTCATGTCCAAATCTTACCCCAAGATTCGTATATAGACATGGGTCAAAAATTACCACCCCCATATCTCGGCCAAATCTCATCCGATTTTCACGAAGTTTGGCTTTTTCTTCATGGTTTTCCCTCTAGATTAATTTGGCATTCAAATCTGAACACCGATTTTTTAGTCGAAATGCATGTCCAAATCTTACCCCAAGATTCGTATATAGACATGGGTCAAAAATTACCACCCCCATATCTCGGCCAAATCTCATCCGATTTTCACGAAGTTTGGCTTTTTCTTCATGGTTTTCCCTCTAGATTAATTTGGCATTCAAATCTGAACACCGATTTTTTAGTCGAAATGCATGTCCAAAACTTACCCCAAGATTCGTATATAGACATGGGTCAAAAATTACCACCCCCATAACTCGGTCAAATCTCATCCGATTTCCACGAAGTTTGGCTTTTTCCTCATGGTTTTCCCTCTAGATTAATGTGGCATTCAAATCTCGACACCGATTTTTTGGTCGAAATTCATGTCCAAATCTTACCCCAAGATTCGTATATAGACATGGGTCAAAAATTACCACCCCCATAACTCGGTCAAATCTCATCCGATTTCCACGAAGTTTGGCTTTTTCTTCATGGTTTTCGCTCTAGATTAATTTGGCATTGAAATCTGAACACCGATTTTTTAGTCGAAATGCATGTCCAAATCTTACCCCAAGATTCGTATATAGACATGGCTCAAAAATTACCACCCCCATAACTCGGTCAAATCTCATCCGATTTCCACGAAGTTTGGCTTTTTCTTCATGGTTTTCCCTCTAGATTAATGTGGCATTCAAATCTCGACACCGATTTTTTGGTCGAAATTCATGTCCAAATCTTACCCCAAGATTCGTATATAGACATGGGTCAAAAATTACCACGCCCATAACTCGGCCAAATCTCATCCGATTTTCACGAAGTTTGGCTTTTTATACCCTGAACCCATTAAGAATGGGTATAAGGGTATATTGTATTTGTGCAAAATCCAAATATATGTAACAGGCAGAAGGAAGCAACTCCGACCCCACAAAGTATATATATTCTTGATCAGCATAAATAGCTGAGTCGATCTAGCAATATCCGTCTCTCTGTCCGTCCGTCCGTCTGTCCGTCCGTATGTATAAACGCAAGGATCTCAGAACTTATAAGAGCTAGAAAGAAATTTTAGATGTAGATGCTCCTAGTTCCCGCGCAGATCGAGTTTGTTTCCGATAATCGATAACTTACTCCGTTATCGATATCTAAATCTTGTTTTTTGGGCAATTTTGGTAAATAATAAGAGCTAGAGTCACCAAACTTGACATATAGCTTCTAAAATAGAATATATATATGCATTTGATGTTGGAGGAAGAGGGTTCAGGGTATCCCCTAGTCGGGAGCTCCCGACTAGAACCTCTTACTTGTTATTTGTGCATTGCTTTCACAAACGACCGCAAATATTAAAATGCATTTGGGTTTTGCAATTGCAATTAGGAAGGCTGTTTTTTTTTATATTATTTATTTGCATTTCATTTTTTTTATTTTATTTTTGTTTTTCTTTTTTAATTGTTGTAAATCGCATAAATGCAATTATAAAATTTCTCATCAATTGGGCAACGGTCGCAACGCGGTTCAGTTGCGGTCAATGCGATGCTCTGCGCATAATTAAAAAACAATATTTGGTTAGTTTAATCAATTTGCATACACATCAACACAGAAAGACAGAGAGAGAGAGAGAGAGGGAGAGGGGCAGTAACTATGTAACTAGACAACAATTGAGGGGAGAGGCAAAAAAAAAAGCCAAAGGAAAATCAAATAAAATGCGGCAACAAAGCAGTTGGTTTATAATAGAGCTTAATCAAAAACAATGCGTTAATCAAACGCAATTGAATAGATCAAAATGGGCGGCTGGCCATTGTCATAGAGGCGGGAAAGGACAGTGAAGGCGGGGTAAAAGGAAATCATTTAATTGGTTCAGCTGGGAGATCAACAGAAAAAAGCTGACCCCAATGGAAACTACAGGAAATGAAAAGATTTAAAAATAAATAAAATTAAACAAAGCAAATATAAGCACTTTTTTATTGCTATATATATATATATATACAGAGAGAGAGAGAGAGAGAGAGAGAGAGAGAGAGAGAGAGAGAGAGAGAGAGAGAGAGAGAACGTGAGAGAGAGATATGACTGAGCTGGGATAAAAAGTGCTGCGCGGCTTAATTGGATTAATCCAGACAGTGTTGTAAAACGCGCTGAACTAGCGTCCCTGTACAACACTGTTAGCAGTACTGTACAACACTGACAGCAGTGACTGTACCTCAAGCTGAGCTGATTTGACAGAAAATCTTAGAAAACTTGAAAGACGGACAACTTTATTTAAAGTTACATAAAAGAAATCAATATGAATTTATTAAATCAAACCCGATAAGCACAACAACAATAGAGTCTGTTTTGACTGCACGATTGATAAACCAAGGATTTCCACCCACAACTGTGGAAAATTAGTGGAAAACGTTCGACTGAAACTTGTTTGTATGCCAACCGATCGGCTTTAAACTCATATTCATAGATCGTGGTGATTTTTTTCAGGAACCTGTGACATGTTTGACACTATTCGTAATAATTTATGCCTTTGTTAGTTATTAGAGATCAAAGGTTACGAGTTTTCTTCAATCGACTACAATCGTATTTGCAAAGCTCTACGTGAAAACTAAACGAATAAGTATTTCAGCTATTTCGAAATACACACTCGAAACTGTGGAAAATTATCAAATTTTACGTGCCTTTTGCGGGGTCACTTTTATATAAAACTCCGCCTGATTGCACCTAAGGTTTCAATCAATCAATCAATCAATCAATCAGTCAGCACAGATATTGCTAACTGCAGCCGTAGAATAACACTTGTGATTGAGCCCAGCCTTGGCAATGCCAACTTAATGCTTAAGCTCTCTCCCCTTTCTCTTTATATTTCGCAGTTATATCAACTCCGACGACTGATGCAAGGCTCCGAGAGTACACCGAAAGCTCCATTAGGTAATAATGCGCGACCCGTGCAAAGCTTACACCATAGAACCGTAAGGACGAACATAGATTTTAAGCGTCATAAGGTGAGTGTCCTTTAAAGTTATCTAAATGTGTACAATCGATAACTATCGATATGTTTTAAATATAGTATGCATATTGCATACATCATTATCTGATTGACTGACAATCTAACAGATTGATGGAAATTTTACTGTGGCATAAAGCTCAAGACGGATATCTTGCATAATTCCACCAGCAACTGTGAAAAATTGGTGGAATACGCTTGTGTGAAACTTTATTGCTTAGCATACAATCGTGCTGAAACTTAGTTTCACAAATTTGTTGTGAAAATGCATTTGAGTCCGTTTTTCACACATATCAGTGAATTCACGTCTCTTGAAGGGAAAGTGTGGAAATGTGCGAATTTTTAATTCACGGTTCACTGTCAAACCTTTAAATTGATAGAAAAAATTGAGAACAATTCTTCAAGCTAAATCCACAAAATACTCGCAAAAACTTGCGCCGGGCATAGCCGGGTAATGTCCGCTTGTCTATTTCTATGGAAATATTCCATAAAATCTGTCGCTAGATAAGCCTGGTAAAGCATTCAATTGACTCTTTAACAATTTATGTTTTTTTTTTTTGTTTTATGCTTTTAAATCCGAAATAGAATCAAAACGCATGCCCTTCCATGTACAAGGACATGTACTATCGAGCGAATCGCTGGTCGCCAGACACGGGACTTCTGATACGTTGACGACAACAACAAATAGAACAAAAACTGGAACTGGAACTGGAACTGGCACTGGCACTGGAACTGGAACTGGAACTGGAACTGAGGCTGGCAACGCATTTCGCATTTTTGATGCCGCATTCAAATTTGATATTCACGTTTTTAAAACGAGCTCAGGATTCGTTTGGCTTGCAACATTCCTAACAACAGCAACAACAACTATTACAAACAACAAACATCGCATATATATACACACACAAATATATCTATATATATACATATATATATATATATATATATATATATCGTTTCATTAACAGCAACAAGGTATAAACAGAGTTCGACTTCGGCTAGCCGAATGTCTAATGCCCTTGCAGAGTGCTCCGCTTGAACCTAGCCTTCAAATTAGTCTAGCTTTCTTCTATACACACACACACATACACATTCACACATGCTTCTTCTTCTGCCCTTTTCCTCATGCGTGTAACTTCGGTGTTTATAGTCCGATCTTGATGAAATTGACAGGCATTTCAAGAAGACATTTACCAACTTTGGTTAAAACAAGGAGAGCTATTATAGAGAAAACTAATGCGCATAGTATTGCTCACAAGGCTCCATGAAGCAGATATTTCATGTGAGAAAGTCAAAGTACTCTCTCTCTCTTTCTCTCTGCAAGGACATGCCCTAACAGAGCGCAAAAATATTTATGAACAAATAACAAACAAAAACCAGTTAATTCCATGGAAGCTAACTAAAATATAGATAAATAAATAAAATGGCAAAAAAAAAAAAAAAATACAGAGCCTAGAAATAAGCACAACACGCACACAGCAAAAATGTACGCTGTGCCACAAATTAATTGCTGCCTTTTTATATTTGTGAAATAACTAAAATGAGTTCAATATTTGTTCAAACACACACACACACACACACACACACACGCACGCCTGCACTAGCTGAAAAATTCTTTATTATTTTTGTTAACATTTTTTTAAAAATTATTTATGGCCTATTATTGATTATTTCAGCTTTATTTGTGGCATTTATTTGTATTTATTTATTTACCTTTTTTTTTTGTTTTTGCTTTTACTTTAATTTATCAATTTCTTTTTTCTGACACACAAAGAACTAAACAGCGAATTCGGCAAGCCGAATCTCAGATACCCTTGCAGCTGAATAGAAAACAATTTAGAGCGCGCGAGTCGGCAGTGCCCGACTAGAAAATACCCTGCACGAGCTGATGTTGCACTCATTCCCTCCTGCCTCCCATACACACACACACACACACGGCTTCGCTTCTTCTTCTTGCCTTTACCCCACATTCTTGAATAACATCGGAGCTTATTGTCCGATTTTTTGAAAAATGAACTATTCCAAATCTCTTAACGAGAGTCGTTTAACTCAATTTTAATGCATCTAGTTCTTAGAATGTGCGAATTATCGAGTTATCGAGTCTAAGAATCGATTTGTATCGAAATTGGGAGCATGGCGAGGAGATTTGGGCTTGTGGCATGCAAAATGTGAACTATTCCGCATTTGTGAGTATTAAACGAGCCGCTTTAAAGCAAGTATGGTGCGTAAAGCTCTTATGATGTTCGAGTTATCGAATCTGAAAATCGATTTTTATCGATATTAAGATAATAGAGGGGAGTTTTATGCTGGTTACATTTGAAAAGTGAACTATTCCGAATCTGTGTGTACTAAACGAAAACCTTTAAACCAAATTTGATGCATTCAGCTCGAGTTATCGGGTCTAAAAATCGATTTCTTTCGATACTAAGCGTATGAAGGGCAAATATAGGTAATATATTTGGAATATATTTGCAAAATATCAGCTAGCTTTTCGGATTTCTGAGTTTCACGCCTTCAGACTGTCGAACACGGACAGATCGATTGCTCGACTGATCGATCAAGCATATATATATTCCATTCAAGGGTTCGCAGATGCATTCTTTTGTATCTCAAGTATTAAGTATTAGAAGCATCCCATGCCTATAGATATAACTCGAGTTTCCGTTTATCAAATCTACGTCAGCTATAATGATATGCTTATTAAATCGATTAAATTTGAGAAAATGATATAGTCAAACGAATCAGCTAGTTCCTAATCAGACACAAGCTGTGAATAGAACCAGGAGCCTAGCTTGAAGCGGATCCTAGTTCACGTAGACTGGTTCAAGAATGTTGAAGAACTTTATGATAATAAGCGCTGCAAGGGTATACGAAGAAGCACAACAAACATACACACAAAAACAACAAATGAAATAAGAATTTCCGTAAACTGGATGGGTGGACAATAACTAAAGAAACCAAAAGGTAAATAAATACATATAAATATATATAGAGAGAAAGAAAAACAAAGCAGACGAAAAAAAAAACATATATAAATAAAAAATTAAAAAAAAAAAAAAATATTCATATAAAGTATACAAGAAAAAAAAGTAACTAAGTATATAGCTATATATGAATACGATATACAAATAATACAAAAAAAAAAACATATAACTATATGAAAAGCAAACATTTGACAACTACAGAAAGGCATAAAAACTAAATGAAGGCCCCTAACCAAAAGGAAACTAAAATAAAAAAAAGAACTACTAAGCAATGCAGCAGGAAGTCGAAAAAGTTGGGCATAGCATAGAAAACTAACTATAAAATACTATATAAAATATATATAGATATATATATATATATATATATATAAATAGTTATATAGCTAAATATGTGTGTACACTCAACAAGAGGGGAAGGAAAAAGAGTTAAGAGCCAGCCAGTAAGTAAATACCAGACACACACACACAGAATCGATAAATGCATACTATACACGATATAAACACACATATATATATATATACATATATAGACACACGATAAATAGTCGCTATACGGTAAGCAGCCAGCATCAGCGATCGTCAGCGATATTGTTATCGATAACTAATCGATAGATCGTACTTAAACGAACTCTAGTTAAACGTGTTAAATGCATTAACTAAATTAGGCTTAATTTAAGTAGACGCAAAAGCAAAACTAAGCAACAACTAAATAAATAATAATAGTAAATTTTTTTTTTTTGTCAATATATCGATAGACGCTTCGATATATATATCGACATACATACAAGTAAGTAACAGTGCTGGACAGCGGACAAGTAATGCATAGCGCTTAGTTTTAATAGCAATTAGCTTTTGTGTTTTTTGTGTAACATATGTTATTCTGTTGTTGAAAATTCGTGCAATTATCATAAGTTAACCCCAACAAAGTGAAAGTAACAAAACGCAAGTGGAAACCCCTTTAACATGAACTAGACGTAGTAAAGAACAAATTATCTATTTGTATAAAATGCGATTGACTGTAAGTTACTATTGTGTTGCCATATACGACTAACTATAATTCATACATACATATATATATATACATATGCCATATAAAAATGCAAAATATGTACCACGACTATAGAGCAAACAACAGGAATATAAAGAGACAAATGCAAATAAACGATTACAACAAACAACAACAACAACAAATTGACAAAACTTTCGAGCAAACAATTAAATATGCATCTCTCTATTATTTTCCCATGCATAACATAACGACAACAACAAATATTCTGAGTAACAAATTGAAAATGAAATGCAAATTAATACAAAGTACAGCAAATCACACAAAATCGAATAAAATAAAATAATATATAAAAATAATACTAAAAAAAAAACCTACTATGTGACAAAAGAAAAATAAAGATGAAAAATAAACAAATTCAATTAAATGCGCATTTTTTATCAAGTCTCCTACATTTTGTCAGTCAAAATATGCTTTTTGAACTAGTTCCTTGCGATCTGAGCAGGTCAACAGAACTAGTTCACTTTCCAGTGAGTACATTGTTTTCATTGTGCCTCAAACATTTTGTAGGCACATTTTGTGATTCAAGCCAAACATTTTTTGCAACTAGTTCCGGTGTTCCTAAACAGATGAGCCGAACTAGTTCACTTCTCATTCAATTGAAAATGCTTATTTCTTATTAAGTCTGAAACAAAAACGTTTTGTAAACTAGTTCCAGAGAACTAAGCAGGTGAAATGAACTAGTTCACTTCCCATTCAGTTCAAGTTGCGGATTGTTCATTAAGTCTCAAACAATTTGTGGGCATATTTTGGTCAGGTCAACAGAACTAGTTCACTGTATACGAAGTGGAACTATGGGAACTGTTTTAGGTTTGAGTAGTTTACCAGAGAATCTAATTCTCAAATCAGAGGAATATATTTTCGATTTTCATAAACGTTGGATGGAACACAAAGAAAATTATTAGAAGATTCTCTAAACTTGCAATGGGGAATATTGCAATAATAATACAGATTATCTAGGTATTTCGGTATGAAGGAATGAAAAGTTGAACATAATGAATCAGATTGCACTTAGTCTCGGCCCACTTTTGATAGGCACTTTTGTGATACTCACTCATGGGAATGATGGAATGGAACAGACTATATAAGAAAGAGGGTTTCAATGAAGTAATCCAAGTATGCCTTACATTTTTTTTCAGCGGAATGATGGAATGAAACGTTGAACTTAATGTAACTGATTTCACTTAGTCTCGGTCCACTTTTGATAGACACTTTTGTGATACTCACTCATGGGAATGATGGAATGGAACAGACTATATTAGAAAAAGGGTTTCAATGAAGTTATTCAAGTATGCCTGCTTTTTTTCGAGTAATTGATAGTTTATATTTTAGTAGTTATCCCTCTGCGAAACACTGGAATGGAACAGAGACTCGCTTGAAAATTCGCACGGAAAGTTCGAATGAAACAACAATCTTATTTGAGACTTTCAATAGTTATACCGTCAAAAAATTCTACAATATTTTTTAAGTTTCCTTCCAGTGAAACGCTGAAATGAAACGGCAAATTTAGTATTACGAACCGAGGCTATGCAACGAAATGAATTGAATTTCTGATTCCACATTGAAATAAAGCAACAAATGGGTTATCATGAGGGCAAATGTTAAAAGCCACTTAATATCCGGTTTGCTAATCACCGAAACAAGTCGAGACACAAATCAAAT